GAGTCGTGAATGCGTGTAAATAGAATGACACTCTCTGTTTAGAAGAGATTTTCCATTTTTCTTTCTAGTTCATTTATCGATAAGAGTGACGACATTAAAAAAACAAAACAAAGAAAACAGAAAAGAAAAAGAAGAAAAAGTATATGTCACATTTCATACATTATGCTAACAGGATTCTTGAACTTTCTATAAAGATTGAGATTCATATCTGATGGACGGAATAAGGCGTCTCTCTGTAAAATGATTAAAGTAATGAGAATAAAAAAACATGAAAAGAAGAAATTGATCTTTTCAAAAATTGAACAATATGGGAGAAAAAGAAGAAACCGGTGGGCAGTTACCACGAAACAAAATTGTTCATAGACACAATAACAAAAATAAATTCCCAGTACCACTACTGGTATACTCAACATCATCCACTTGCGACATTATGTAAAAGTCCATTATCTTTGAACTCTTTTATAACATACGTAATCAATCAGACAATATACATCTATGACTAGATATTTGGTAAAAGTATAGAGAATGGCACTCCCATCACTATATTTCATATCATTTGACTAAACCTTAAAGTTTAAATATATATATAATATGTATATATGGGAAACCTAATGGTAGTTCTATACAGTACTTACAAGAATAGAGTTCATCATCAACTACTTATTCTCATCAAGCAGATGAAAATATGAAAAAATAAGAAAAAAGAAAGAAAGAAAAAAACAACAACAACACTATTTCTCCCTTTTTGAACTCTCACTATTGCCGTTACAGATCATAGCGTTAAAAAGTACTACATACCACAAGAATTCAACTAAGTCGAAATGCTCCAAAAAAGTGGTCCCTGGTGAGGTAAAATATATACACCCAGTCTCTGGGTCTCTTTGTTATCTGTTCAGTGAGTGACAACAACAACAAAAAGAAAATGTGTACAAGGACACCTGTGAACACACATTATTATTATATATTTCGTTACATAAAGTTCTAAAATAATTCAGTTAGAAAATAAAACCTTACATGCTTTACTTCTGAATACAATCTGTATGATGAGGATTCCCTTTTTTAATAACTATGAAATGTTTCAACAAAGTTATGCTATGAAGGCAGGTATATTTGTACATAACCACATCTCCATTTAAAATTACTGCCATGTGGCTGCTTAAACACAATTTCTAAGGCTACATTAAATGTATCGTTATCACCCTCCCATTTTTAGTGTTCCATATGTACATTTATAAAAATCCCTTACTTTAGGAAGAAGAACAAGATGAAAATCAAACTGATTATGATTTGAATATTAAAGAAATCAACATAATACATGAGGAATATTCGAAAGGACATGTTAATATTAATCTCCTGTATTATATAAAGGAGGCATTTAAAACTTATTTAAATTATCCAGTTTTTTGTAGATCACATAAAATTTTAAAGCAGTGGTTAAAGTTTTCCATCTGAGAAATGATATTCCTAACTTAAGCTATTTACAGAAACATTAATGCAGAGATCATGCACTTACATTTCTTACTTGGAAATGTATCTATATCCTTCTTTTTTTCGGTCAGAAGATTACATGAATTTTTTTTTCCCTTCTCATATGACATGACATTATAGTTTTTCATTATATATTAAGACTAAATTATTTTTGTAATTTTCATCCGATGTTCCTTTTTTCTCTCTCTCTTTCGATAAGAGACCACACAAAGTTCTCTCTTTATGTCATTCTTTTGTTAAAAGCTACATTAAGTTCTAAGTTCACAAAAGTATTGCAGTCTGCATTGTTAGCTAAAATAGGAGAAATCTCATTTTCTCGGCTCACCTACATTTTGAACTTTACTCTATCACATATGAGTAACCATCACCCAAGGGCATGGCTACGTGAAGGGTCGCTTATTATTCTAGTCCTGCACCTTGCTGAACTGTCATTTATCTTTCCTCAATTCTGATATTAATTGTGATAGTGATGTGACATGAAAATGTGGAGTATAAAGACCATAGCTTCTAGGATAACACATCTAGGTGTCTGATTTTTTTTTTTTTTTTTTTTTTTTTTTTTTACACAAGTGTTTACTTTCTTCAAAACCTATTACTGGACTGTATGAAAATACAGTAATGTGTAGTACTGTGCTGTTTCCAACAATGCTTTAGAGTTTATAACAAGTACATCACTCAAATGGATTCACAGACATAATTCGTATTATAATGAATTAGAGGACTGACTTGCCATTCAGTTACATATTTTTATACAGGCTGGGATTTCAATCTCTCTCTCTCTCTCATTATTTCTCTTGCTATCTCTTTATTTCTCTCACTCTCTTTATTTCTCTTGTTCTCTCTTTAATTCTCTCACACTCTTTTATTTCCCTTGCTCTCTCCCTCTTAATTTCTATTGCTCTCTCTCTCTCTCTTTATTTCTATTGCTTTCTCTCTTTCTCTTAACTTCTCTCTCTTTCACAATTTCTCTCTACTTCTTTCTCTCTTTCTTTTTTAGATTTTCTTTCTCTAAAGACAAATTCTCTTCAGCACACAGTCCAAAGTACACCTTTCTGTAAATGCGAAGATCAAACATTCTGGTTAATGCCTGTCATCATGCGTGAGATCTTGTCATTGTTGCGCAGGATATTGGACTTGACGGCAGAAAGTTTGTCCCTCTGATCCTGCACTGCTGTTTCTAGTTCTGCCAGCTGACTTTTCAGGGGCTCAAGTGCTTGATCGGTTAAACTGGAAAGTAAAGGAGATAAAAGATAGAGTTTGCAATGTTGAGGAAATCTTTGAAAGGAAAGTTTGTCATTAATGTAGGGATGACAAAAAAAGAAATACTTAGAGAAAGGGTATAGAGTGTGGAATATAATGTCCCAAGCAGAAAAGGTGATATGATTTCTTAATGGGAACATGAAATAAGGAGCAACTTCTTTTCAAGAGCAAATATATGAAACATAAAAAAAATAATAATTATTAGACACTGAAGAATACGTATAACCTTGTGTGGGTTTTGTCATGTATTATTTCAGGTACACAATTCTACATGTACGACTGATCTTCTCTGCATGTATGTGGTTATATGATATGTCTCTATTCAAACAAACAAGTACAAGTGCTAATTCAAAGAAATACATTGCAAATCTGCATGAGGATATGGATTAATGTTTGTAAAAAAAAAAAAAAAAGATATTTGAAAACAGCTTCACTCTTCCAAAAAATTGAAGACATTATAATGTATATATTACAAGTTAATGAGATGCAAAAATACCCCTGTTGAATTAAACAAGAGATTGATTTCCTGTATATGAATAATGTATGACTTAGAAAAGTGTAAGCAAAGACAGGAAACAGAAAACTGTTTAGGAGATGAAGCACAAGATCATTTAAATATCTAATTACAAGATTACAAATAGAAAAAGATAAAAAAAATCTATTCATATACAATTCTCATTCATATTAAAACAGAAAGAAGTTTCATACAAGGGACCTTCTACTACAGATACCAATCATGCTCTGCAATGTCTACCACAGTTATAAAAATGGTGCTTCTACAGATCAAGTTATTAATGAATCAGAGACCATTTTATCTTCAAAGTCAAATTGCTCTCCCTGGAATTACATCAGAATGAAGTCTGAAAAAAGGAAGAAATTAAATTACATGTCCCTTACTTTAAGACTGGTAACTCTTATTGATGTTAATGTAGTAACCTTCTTCTATCACCATTTCCTCTCGGAACTTGATAGTCAATTTGACCAACTACATTTCTTGTCAACATTCAGCTGAGTTTGATAGTTCATAGTTATGGCCACTGTCAAGATAAAGATATGGACATATGCACAAACACAACTGCTTACTATTTGTCTGAAGAGGGACATAGGTGGCAGAGAAGAAGTGACAATGAGTAGTGGTACTGTTTGCTTATTACTGCAAATATTTTTCATTGGCAGTCTGTCAGTTAAGGGAGTTGTTGTGACACCCAAGCAGTTTCCTTGTACTTCATCGTACTTCATCAAATACTTTGTATTTTTCATAAATATATATCTTTCAATATAAAAAAGACATCCATTGCCCATGTGGAGGGAAAAAATGCATATCTTTCTTTGAGATATATGAAATGATTCAAATTCTTTATATTTCCCTATTTATTGATCCATCTGATATGAACTTATCTTTCATGGCATTCATCAAGAACCCATTAACAGTGATAGAGGAAGGTTATACAAAATCTTCAGATCACACTAATGAACTTAAATAATAAAAACCATCATCACCGTTTGCTGTGCATGGTCACCAAGACACCTCAGCTACAAAAGGACATTAACAGGTGAAATTCATTTATAGATACACTCACTACCATCTTGCCCCTAATCAGATCCTTGTCACTGGAGGCTCTGTGCTCTATTTTAGGAGGTTCAGAGAGTTTAAACAGGTCAACTATTGAACACTTGACATCACAGAAACCCGACAATCACATTTGAATCATAGGAATTTATTTAAAAGGGAAAAAGGGTCTGCAGTGCTGGAACGTAAAAACTCATAGCTACTTCTCCTTGGGTCTTGGCCAGTACGGATCCCTGAAGAGGCTGAGATAATCGTTGTAGAGGCTGGGATTAAGGAGACTATCATTAACCTAATGTGAATGCTCCTAACATGGTATAGACCTCCTTTGTATAGATGGTACAGATATCGGTAGGTTTTTTTTTTCTTTTTTCTTTTCCAAAAAGCAGCTTCCTAGATATGTACCAGTAAAACCCTCAATTAAATTCATAGACTACCATTCTCCATGTCTCAATGTTTCACAAAGATTCTGATCTATTGTTTTATATGTTAAAATCCTATATACAATGGTATTGAAGAACATTAAGATCCTATATACAACAGTAGATTCTTTCTATTCTGATCTGCTCTATAAGTAAACACTTTCTTAAATTACTTTACATGTTACCAAATGGAAATGTGATAAAAGCAGACTGTATCGCCATAAAAATGCATCTTTGCAATCTTCCTACATGATCACATACAGTATGCTAATCAATATTTCCAGGACAAAGAGTTAATTGGATTTATTGATAAATAATCCTCTAAAATATAGGCAAGCCAAATTCACAAGAAAGATTCAAACAGAATATTTCTTAACAGGATATTCCTATACACTGCTTCCCATACTATGTGACAATGAGGTAATATTACATACTGGATGATATCTTTTCAATGGTGTGCCTGTGAGAGTGATATTACCTTTACATTATAAACCCTGCTGGCTAGAATACCTGCATCTTCTAGGAAACAATTTATATAAATTACACACAAAATAACATGTCTGGTACCTACCTCTGTTCTCGTTTGAGGGTTTGAGCAAGCACCTTATTCTCATTTCTCCAAGTTTCTAACTCCTTCTGCATTGAATCTAAGTCTTCTTGCAGGTAGTCTAACATTTTTGCTGTAATTTAGAATTAACATATTCAGTTTACCTAATTTATGTAAGATTCAATAGAATAACTTAAAATGTACTTAATATTTTACAGATTCCCATCACACATACTATTAAAAAAGTGTTGCTATACCACCATATGAACTGTTCAATAATCAATTCTCATTGTGATTTTCAATTATCCATAGCAATTTAAAGAGAAAGGACTTACAATACAATTTCCAAGCTTTTACTACAACAAATAACAGAAAAAGATGACCTGCACTACATTTACTGTCCTTCTTAAGCAATGTTATCATCAGTAATAGAAACAATGGACTTTTAACATACTTACCCAAAGGATTAACAGATCTAGTGATTGACTGGATGGAGCCTACCAGTTTCTGCACATCCTTTTGGATAATCTCCCTTTCTTTCCTTCGGTTAGCATCAGTCAACTGCGACTTTTCCTTTGGAAAGGTATAAAAAAGAATTACAGAGGGAAATGGCTTGATTATACTGACTCCAGATTATAAACCATATCTCAGTATTTCTAATACCTTTTTTTTTTTTTTTTTTTTTTAGGAATGACTGATTATCCAAATTCTTTGCTGCATCAACAGCTAGGGCCATTAGAAGCATAACATATAATGGCATTTGAATGTTTCCTTTAAATCAAAATACAAATGTACAGAAAACTAAACAGGCAAATATGCACATTTCCCAAAACTTACAATTTGTACTCGTCGATGACCGGGTGTCTCGGGGGAATAAGCATTACGTCTGCCATCTTCAAGCTCCTTCTTTGACTCCAGAATTTGCGCCACTAAAAGACCCGCTCCATCTCCATCTTCTCCTACCGCTGCTGCTGCTGCTGCCACTGCTGACCCACTAGCTCCCATGGGGTCTAGAGGTATCTGTAAAAAAGCAAAAAAAATCAGGGGATTTTCCCCAAATTGTTTTTGTATTCATATTTCTATAAACTTTTTGAGATGAATATTTTGAGGTGCATACCCTTTGTTCTTTTTATTGCTACTGCACAAAAGAAAACAGTCAAAATTCAAGGTCCTATTGTTCTAGATGCATTTACATTAATCAATACTAAACATCTATCTCTACAAAAAAAAATCCTGTTATTATCAAAACCATATAATTAATTGTTTTTCATCTAAAGTAATGTAAAAAATCATAACATCCTCACCGGGTCCTCCTCAAACATTGGTTTTGACTCTTCCACGGTAAAGTTGTCATCTTCATCGTCATTTTTAGTATCATCAGAGGCTAGAATGACGTTGGCTACTGGTTTGCTAGTGGGAGGCCGCTGGAGCTCCTCTTTAGGGATCTCTCGACGTTCTCTCACCCTTGGCGGTGCTGGACGTGCACTTGGGGGCCGAGCAGAACGCCGACCAGTTCGTGGTCTTCTACTTACATCCCCAGTTTGTGGTGGGTCTCTGTTGGTAGAAGAAGAGGAAGAGGAGTGTCAAAGAATATCTTTCAGAAAGTTCCATGAAATTCTGTAAGAAATATTTTGTTGTTTGGCATTTTGGAACTGTTCAGAGGACACCTTTGTGAAACAGAAAATATTCATAAGAAATAAATGTGAAAATAAAAGGATCACTAAAGATTTTTCCTAGTCTACCAGTTATGAATTTTACTAACTGTACAGTTCTGCTCCATTGACTTGCTGCACCTGGATGTAAAGCTGTACTTGTCAGCCAAGTCTTCACTAAGGTCTTCAAAGGGTAGTAAAAGTGCAGAAAAGTTGTGTGTCAAACCTCTTATTACACAGATACAGCCCTTCAAAGTTGGCTGAACACACTCACTTTATCATAGCTTTGTGAATAAACCCTCTATGAATGAGGATGAACTGAGAGCAACATCTTAAAATTATCAGAATAACACTGCGCAACCTCACAAGTGGCAGTTCAATAGTTGTGAGCCAATAATAAACTTAGTGGTTGTGCCCCCGTGGTGCAGTGGGGGTTTACATTTCATAAACATCAGTATTGAGGAAAGAGTGAAGGACTACACTGTATACCCATCTAAGTCTAAAATAAAATGTACAATATGTTGAGTTATCAACACATGCTAGAAAAAAAGGAGAGATAGATAGAGAGAGAGAGAGAGAGAGAGAGAGAGAGAGAGAGAGAGAGAGAGAGAGAAGAGAGAGAGAGAAGAGAGAGAGAGAGAGAGAGAGAGAGAGAGAGAGAGAGAAAGAGAGAGAGAGAGAGAGGAGAGAGAGAGAGAGAGAGAGAGAGAGAGAGAGAGAGAGAGAGGAGAGAGAGAGAGAGAGAGAGAGAGAGAGAGAGAGAGAGAGAGAGAGGAGAGAGAGAGGGAGAGAGGGAGGAGGGAGAAGGAGGGAGAGAGAGAGAGAGGGAGAGAGAGAGGAGAGAGAGAGAGAGAGAGAGGGAGAGAGAGAGAGAGAGAGAGAGGGAGAGAGAGATAGGGAGAGGGAGAGGGAGAGGGAGAGAGAGAGAGAGAGGAGAGAGAGAGAGAGGGAGAGAGAGAGAGAGGGAGATAGAGAGAGAGAAGAGAGAGAGGGAGAGAGAGAGAGAGAAGGGAGAGAGAGAGAGAGAGGGAGAGAGAGAGAAGAGAGGGAGAGGGAGGGAGAGGGGAAGAGAGAGAAAAGAGAGAAGGAGGGAGGAGAGAGAGAGAGAGAGAGAGAGAGAGAGAGAGAGAGAGAGAGAGAGAGAGAGAGAGAGGAGAGAGAGAGAGAGAGAGAGAGAGAGAGAGAGAGAGAAGAGAGAGAGAGAGAGGAGAGAGGGAGAGAGGGAGAGAGGGAGAGAGAGAGAGGGGAGAGGGAGAGAGAGAGAAGAGAGAGAGAGAGAGAGAGAGAGAGAGAGAGAGAGAGAGAGAGAGAGAGACAGAG